TTATGGTACATTGTGGCTGTTGTGTTCAGCCTTTAATTGCTGAGTGATGACTTTGTTATGTCTGGTGTTAGTGAGGACATTCTTTTTCAGTTATTTGTGCTTGTTCTGGATGTTTCCACAGGGGACAATTAGAAGCCATTTCAGGGCCAGAGCTCTTCCTCCCGAGTTCCAGTCTAGATTGTGCTTATGTTCATCTTCCCCTAGTCCTTCCCTCCTATCTTGTCTCCTCCCCATGGCTCCTGTCCTGGGCTTGTTCAGTAGGCAGCAGTCACCAGGCAGCTGCGAGCATTGTCAGCGTCTGCACTTCTTCCTCTGGTTTCCTGGCCTATAACATGTGAGGAGAGACCAGCAGCCCTCCCAGCCATTCCTGCTGTGACATCCCATTTTGAGAAACCTGAGAATATTGCATACCTGAGGGTGCTTGTCGGTTAATTGGGGCTTAACTCTGAGTGCTGCTCTATCAGCAAACTCACATGTGCGTGTTCTGTCTGGTGCTGAGTGCTTGGGGTGGAAAGATCGAGTCAGGGACAGCCTTGGATTTACTGACCAGGAGGGGAGACCATGAGCAGAGAATTCTCTGAAACCAGGGTTTTGCTGAACAAGATGTTTGATGGAGTATGGTCATAGTGTAAATCAGACATTATGAACCTGAGAATGGCCCGTGGATGTGAGTGTATGATCCAGGTAACTTGTAAATAGCACACAGGGTGGAGCCCCAACTTTAAGCATGTGTGTGTGTGTGCACATGTGCGTAAGTTCCAGAAAACGAGGCTGGGTGAAATGGTCTAATCAGCCAAAGTTATTGCTGGGTGATATTTTAATTGAGTTATAATTTAATTTCTGAACTTTATTCTTACAGTGAATGGGTTTCTTTAACTATCCCTTGATTAGCAGGAAATAAATATTGTTTCTTGAGACGCCAGTAACTGTTTGGCATTCAGTGTGCATGCTATTTGCATGGAGGCCACCTGCAGAAATTCCCCCTGCCGGCAGGGAACATTTATCCAGCAGATGTGAAGGCTCTGAGTTGTGGCGTGGCCTGTCGAGGGGGGGATGTGTCCACACAGTCAGGGCCAGGGGGAGGAATCTCGTTCCTCCCTGGGGAAATATGTTCCAGGCAGGGTGGGTGTAGGGAGTGGGGAGCAAGGCTCATGTGAGGCCTGAGTGCGAAGAGCATGGGCTATGTGGAAGGGAGCAGCGGGGTGGCTGGGAAGGAAGACTCCCACCTGCCAGGCAGGCGAGGAAGATGTGTCCCCACGGAGACACATTCACAGTTGGTTTCATCTATCAGAAGGCAGCTGTGAGTTTCTGCTGTGCTCAGAATTATCCTAGGTGAGCAGGATACAGCATGAACATGTCAGTTGCTAAAACTCTGCCTTGAAGGGAGTTTAGAAATTGCGTTATGGAAGTTTGCACAGACTTAGAAGCAATAAAACAATGCCCCATGCACTCATGACCTACATTCAGCAACAGCTTGGGGCCAGCTACTTTTGCTGTGCTCCCACCTCAGCTTCATCTTGCTTCCCCTCAACTCCCTTTGTCATCCCGTATCCAGCTGACCATGTGAGGCCCTTCCCGCTGCCTCTCGGCTCTGCACTGTCCAGGCTGTCTCTCACCTGTCCTCCCACCACCTGATCCATTCCTGTCAGGATAGGAACAAGTGTTCGGATTAGGCCTGGGGGTTTTACTTCATGGAGGTGACAGAGAGGGGGGTCATCAAGTGATGCAGGAGGCAGAGGCCTGTGTTTATTGGTGTTTCCTTAAGGTGGAAGGGGAGGGTGATAGGATAATGGGGACCCAACTGAGGGGTGTCCCTGCCTGGTGATTAGGGCAGACGTCATGCTCATATTGTGGCAGGGATAGGAGCATGTTGTTTACTGTCTCTGGGATTGTCCAGGCTTGGGAAGGTAGATTTCTCCTGCCAGCGAGGCCTCCAAATCTTCATACAATGCAGAACATAGAAGACAGGATGAAGACACTGTCACTCTATGACTACAGTCAGTTTTCCTTGGTTTTGGCTTTCCTTTTGCGTCACTCAGTGCCCCTTCCTTTTGTACTCACCGCATCAGCAGGTATTAGATGCGTTTCCTGCCCCATCACTGTGCCCGAACCCGAGACCGTCCTCACTCAGGCCCCAGTTGGTGTTTTTGTGTGTAGGATGAGCACCGGCGCCTCTCTGTGGCTTCTCTCCAGTGTGTCCGCCTGTCTGTTCTGGCTTCTCCCTGTGTGGATAATGGTTCGGTGAGGCAGCAGGACCTATCCCTATTCCCGTTCCCTTCCGTGCGACACAAGGTTTTCACAGAAGCTGCTTCCAAAATCTCAGTGATTGGTATTTTACTTGCATTTGCAAAAGGCTGGTTTCTAACCCATCTTTTCGTCTGCATTTGTTAGTCTGTTTCTAAATTTTTGCAAAGGCTGCATGCATTCTCACTCTTGCGCTGGCAATGATGAAAGTCTCTCTCTGAAGCTCAGGGCGCAAACCTTGGGGTTTATTAACAAAGAGGTAACTGGGAAAAAGGAGAGTTCCTAAGGCCACAAATGGTCAGCTTTCCTACCCCAGGTAGTGTCCTCCATAGTAACCAGTGGTCCAGACCAAAAGCTGCCCTGCTCAATGGCATGGCCCTTTGTAGGAGAGCCTGGAGCTCACTGGTAAGTGGTGGCCCAGGACCCAACCCACAGTGGCAGGTGATCACAGACAGTGCCACGCTATGGAAGCCAGCAACACCTGTCTGAATGCTGGGCTGAACGGTGTCAGAGGGAAGGGTCACCTATCACCCTTGAGGTCCCCTGGGTAGGGGGTTGATGACCCTTGGGAATCATTTGTAAGAATAGCACAAGGTGCCAGTAGGCACTGTGGCGTTCATGGATCCTCGGAGATCGGGACCGAGAACCCCAGGTGGACCTCTGAGGAAAGAGCCTGATGAGATGGTGCAGGTATAGGTTGAGCTATCCACAGAGGGCCTCTGCTGGGCAGGTGTGGACAGGAAGGGGAGAGGCCGCAGCTGGCCTCTATTACTCTATTACTACACCCTGGACCTGGTGTAGTAATTGACCTCAGAATGCTGAGTATGTCAGATGCCCCTCCCTTCGGAGAGTGACAGTGGGGAAAGTGTGAAGCAAGATTCTAGAAGCACCAGAAGAGAGCCCAGAGTTGTGCCTGCTGGCCTGGAGGCGTGCCTGGGTGTGGCCTGGAGAAAGCTGGTCGGCTACTCCAGCAGACCCAACATGATCCACGTGTGGCCATCTTCACTAGGCCATCCGGCCCTGGGCTCCCAGATACTATTCCAGGCCAGGAGAGCTTCCACATAGTTTAGCCCAGGGATACTGGATAATCCCTGTCTCTGCCAAGAAGCCCATGACTGGCGGGTACAGTGGCTGCCCAAGGTCGCACAGGAACCGAAGGCTGGACTTCCCTGTGGCCAACTCCTTGTCCATGAGGGTGATCCTAGAGAAACAGACCTGGTCACTGGACCTTCAGAGTCCTCTCCAGAGAGGATAGTTGGAAGCATCTGTCTTCCTCTTCCCCAAGATCTGTGTGTTCTAGCCTGTGGATGCTGAGGGAAGCCTGGCTCTGGGAAAGGCTGAGCGTTTATTCCTCTGCATGGAACAATGTCTCCTCCACTGAGGCAGGATAGCAGTATTGCTGGTCCTGGCTCCTTCTCTGACCCTCCCCCTGCAGAGAGAATGCTGGGTAGAAGGTGAGGCCTGTGTGTATGCGTATCTGGTGAGAGGTGAGTTCTTGGAGTGAGAACTCCTAAATCATAGCATCTGAGAAAACCTGCAGGGGCCAGCTCATTGTTTAGAAAACGAACAAGAAAACTAAATTTAAGCTATAAAATGTTCTCAGAGTGGGATTCAGGATGCTCCGTGCTTTCTGAGACCCTCTTTGGGAACTGTGAGGTCCTTCTCATCCAGCGCCTGTCTTGCGAGGTCTATCTTCACACCAGCCTCAAGCCCTGTCCAGGGCTGTAGATTGTAGCTCAAAAATCCAGCGGTCTGCGGAAGACACATTCAGGAGACTTGCAGAAGTAGACAGTGGTGCAGTGTCGGTAATTGTCTTGTCTGTATAACTGTCATAAAAATGTTACTTATGTTAATATATAATGAATTTTCTTGTTACTTAAAATACAGCTACATTAAAAAAAATTTCTCAGTTGTGTGAAGCTCATGTGGTAAATACCCACAGCTCTTACATCTTACACAATTTTTTTTCTGTGGCATCCTCAGTTATTTTAAAAGAACAACAGGGTGCTGAAACTGACACGTTCCAAAACTGCTGCTTTGCTGCTTTCCTTGAAATACACCTGGTGCTCCCTGTAATCACAGCTGCTACTTGGATCAGCTTACGCAGGTGGTGGTGGCGCTTGGTGTGTGGATGGGAGGAGGTCACTGACACTCGTACTATTGCAGAATAGACTCACAGGCCTTCTGCAGTATGGGGTGCCCTCCTGAGGTCAGGTTTTACTTTTAGGGAGAGCTGTTCACAGGTTCAGTAGATTTGGACTCCAAGCAAAAAGTTGCAGGGAGAGGTAGATGCCTCTAGCCTACTCTTTCCAGGGGTACTGGGGTTCAGCACATTCCAGAAGGGCTCTCATGTAGAGATCCTGATGGGCTCTGCTAGCTCTCTTGGGACAGAGAGTCCCTCCTTGGGGAGAGGAGCTGGCATGTCTGGGGTTGGGCAACTGCTGGACCTCGAAGGGTGTGTTGACTTGCCTCTGGGCTGAAGGGGTTACCCTCTTGTGGGAAGAGGTCTGAATGCAGGTGTGGGGAAAGTGTGGGGTGCCCCAGGGCCACCCTGGTCACAACCATGGGGACCACTGGATGCACTCCTGAGACTGACCTCACCTTGGGAAGTCACCTGGTTTGGAGCAGAAGACCCTGCTACACCAGAGCAGGTCCCTGGTGTAGAAACGAGGGAGCACCTCTCAGGTCAGCGTCCCTGCCACCTCATGGCCCAGGTGTGTTGTCACTAACGTGCAGTTTGCCCTCGCTCCCCGAAGGAGAACCACTGCCGCCGCATCAAGATCCTGGGAGACTGCTACTATTGTGTGTCTGGCCTGACCCAGCCCAAGACCGACCATGCCCACTGCTGCGTGGAGATGGGCCTGGACATGATCGACACCATCACGTGAGTGACCATGGGGGTCTGATCTTGAGCAAGTCATGGACATGACTTTCCCTGCCCCAGGTGGACCTCTCACAGCCTGTATTTTCCTGGTCAGTCTGTCACAGATGGGTCACCTGTGCTTCAGAATCACATTAGGGGAACAAGTTCTACCTGGGCTGCAGGTCTGTGCTTCTGAGACACCCTTCTTGGCATTATTTTTGTCGATGGTCATACCAGGTATTCAGGTATACATTAGTTATGCTTTTAGGGCTTAGTTGGATAGACCATTTAGGGGAGTCACTTCGGGGCTGGGGTTGGCTCAAATCCAGCTGAGTTTCACTTGAAAAAGAGCAGTGTGCATTCATTATTCATGTGTGGAATGACTAAGCCTCAGCTGTTCTCTGTGGGGAGAGAGTTGGATTGAACAGGTAAGGATTTCTGGAACACTGATCTGTCCATTTTTGTCATGGTCTTTGTTGGTGATTGGGGTGGAGAGATAAGTGTCTTCTCTCTGGGAAAATGCATGGAGGGGGAAGTTGAGCTGCTGGGCTGACAGGTAGCACACATCTAGCAGCAGCTCGGTGGTGTGGAGATGCAGGCATGGTCCAGTGAGATGGGGTAACAGGACTGGTGTCATTTCACACTCAGAAGCAGAGAAGAATTGGATGAGAGTGAAGTGGCAAAATAACTTACAGAGAACATCCAAAGGAAAGGCTTTAGAGGTGCGAGGGACAGTGGGCTCACCGGCTGGCTTAGAGGACTGATTGTAAGGAGCCACACACTTGCATACTCTAGGAGCTGGGCTTTCAGGGGACGGAGCAGCACCTCATCACCACGCTATGTGTTACCCTACCTTTTAGGAACACTAGAACTGCATGTTAGCATCCCCAAGAAACTCACATCCCAATGCCTGCTCCACCCAAGAGTAGAAAGCATACTAAGTGATTTCAGTGTGTCCCTCTACTCTGGCAAAGGAAACCAAACTGTAGGGAAGGCTTATTAGAACTGAGGGAGGAGGGCAAGATACTGGAACTGGTAAGACTTAGCAACAGGATGATGTCGTCTGTTCTCAGAAAGGGCATCTTGTCCTGTCATACCATAATCATATAGCCCCTCACAGCATTCATACACACACACACACACACACACACATGTTATATCACTTCATATCACACCAGTTATCTACCTCATCATGTGCTGTATGATTTTACATCTTATTCTATGTGGCACATCACATATTATATCGCATTTGTGTCATACTATAACATATCAATCATCCGTAATACATCATCAGTCATTTCATTTCATATCATATAGCACTATATATACTATCATGGCATAGATCACTTTATATCATATTCCTTATCATGTTATATATCATATCACATCTTACATTATGTCATTTCATGCCAGTGGCCAACAGGTATATGAAAAAATGTTCAACATCACTTGTAATCAGGGAAATGCAAATCAAAACCATAATGAAATACCACCTCACACCAGTGACAATGGTATATATTAAAAAAAAAAAAACAGGAAACAACTAATGTTGGTGAGGATGTGTAGAAAAAGGAACTCTCCGACATTGCTGGTGGGACTACAAACTGGTACAACCACTATGGAAATCTGTGTGGAAGGTTCTTCAGACTATTAAAAATGGAGCTTCCATATGACTGAGAAATCCCATTTCTAGCAGTCTACTCAAAAGTACACAACAACATTAATTCAAAGGGACCTGCACCCCTATGTTCATTTCAACACTATTTTCAATAGGTAAGATATATAAACAATCCAAGGTGACTGAATCAAGAAGATATGGTATATACATATTGAAATACTATTTAGCACTCAAAATGATAAATTAATGCCATTCACAGCTATATGGATGGAGTTGGAAGGGATCATGCTCAGTGAAATGAGCCAGGAAAAAAAAGAAAAATACTGGCTGGTTTCACTCATAGGAGGAATGTAGGGGAAATCAAATAAGGGATCAGGAAAAAATTATAATAAATTAAAAAACAAAATTAACAGAAAACAGAGACACTCTGCAGGGGATAGGGGAGGGAGAGGAATCAGAGGAGGGAAGCACAGGGCCTGTGGTGATGGTACATGGGTAAATTTGCGGTGGGAATTTTTCAGGCACTATACCTGAGAGAAGAAAGCATACATTATACAAAAAGGAAGAATGATGTAAAATGTATATAAAATAAAAAAAAAACATATCACTTCACGTATCACATCATACAGTACAGTATATGCCAAATAGTTCCTTATACCTTGTTTCCTGTGATCTTTTTGGGGTAGACTGACGTTCTGCAGGTGGAAGCTATAAAGAGAACAATGCCAGCTCATTGCTCAGTGTTTTGTGAAGCCCCTGCTCCGTGTGGACAGAGATAAAGTTGACTCACTGGGTGCAGAGAGGAACTGTGTCCCCAGCATGGGCCTGACTGGCCTGAAGCAGGTGATTCATGGGGCTGAACCCTGGCCTTCTGCCTTTAAGGTGGATGATGATTATGAGGGTCTCCCCTGGTCAAAACTCAAGAGACAAGAGATAGTAGCAGGAAATCAAGTTTAATAAGGGGCTGGTAAATCTGAGATGACTTTTTGAGACTGTAATCTGTGTGTCCTCAGGTTTGCCAGCTTCTGTTCAAACTTGATTTCCTTCCACCAACTCTTGACTCTGAGTTTTGATTTATGAGCAGTGAGTAGCTAGATCCAAACTCTAGTTGACAGTTGGTGACCACGAAGGGACTTAGGGACTTGTGCACACCAAGCAATGCCACCCTCTCGATCGCCGATGGACAGGGCAGTTGGCTGCAGCATCCCACCAGGGCTGACTATTCACACTGTTGGGAGGAGTGACAGTTGCTTGTGTGAGTCATCTCTGTGTGGCAAGCTGACCCCTTAACTGGGAGTATCAGGGCTTCCCTGCGGTTGCCAACAAGTCATTATCTTGGAGATTCCCCTTTCTCCTATTCATTGCACCAGCTGTCTAAAAATGCCCTGTTGATGGGAGAAAGTGGTTTCTGGCAGGAAATTGGCAGATTCCAACTCCTAGGTAAGTCTCATGGGAAGTGCACGCTGGATTCCTTGTTGTCTGTCATTTGGTTACTTTGGCAACAGTCTGTGACTCTTTGGGGCCAATCTGGGTTGCTTTGGTAACAATCTGTGACTCTTTTGGGCAAGGCTGTTTCACTACTGAATATATAGAGAAAATACAAGGTAAACAATTGAGTCTTGGGCACCTGTTTCTATGTGTGTGCCTCTGAATCTTTCTCTTTCCATTTCTGAATAACAGGATTATACTTAAGAAAGACTCATGGGGTCTTCTGTCTCTGTTCCACCCAAGAGTCATTTGGATGTGTTCTAACTAACTGGTCCACTTACAGCGATGAGTCCACACAAGGAAAAATAATTGGTCTTTTCATATTAACACTTGGCCTGGGTATTATTAAAATTTGGAGATGGCCTTTGAGACAGTAGTTTACCATGTCCTTGGGTTTGCAAGCTCCTAATGAAACTTGGTTTCCTTCACCAACTCTTGTCGCTGGAGTTTTGGATTATGAATAGCACATAGCCTGAACCAAACTCCAGTAATAAAAATATATTTAAAATTGATAAAAACTAAACAGGTATTGAACATATGTCCATCATCAGAGTTCCCAGGAACTTTTATTATATACCTCTGGCTTGTGGGTTCTAAGATTATCAAAGTTGAATCCACCAGGGGCCCTGTGGGGCCCTCTGAAAGATGCATCTGGTGCTACAGTCTGACTTCCCCAGGCCGGTGGTCCCTTGACACAACTGCTGAGATCTCTGTGTGCATGATTTGGGAAATGGACCCTTGGGTGCATAAAGTATGGGCAGTGGTGGGTGGAACCAGACCTGAAATGGCAGCAGCAGGGGGTTGTGTGGAGACCAGTCAGGGACCGTGGAGTCCTTGTTTGTGGAGGGAGGGGAGTGGAAGAAACCCCCCTGGGAACCCAGTTGGCAATCTGCAAATGGACATCAATCAGGGAATGGCATGCCATTCTTGCAGGTGGACTGAGCCCAGTGCCTGCACTGCTCTACTGATTAAAGGGAATCCCAGAGGCCGGAAGGGGGGCTCCTGGGAGGCATGTGGAACAGGATTGATGGCAGAGGGCTGAGCCCTGAGGCTTGCTATCATCAGTCTCTCCTGTCAGTTACCTGTGGGTTTCTGTTTGTGCATGTCCATATATCCTACTGAGGTAAAATAGTTAGCAGGATCTCCACTGGCTCCCTTGAGCATGGAGGAGCACAGGGTAGAGTGTGAAGACTTCCAGAGTTTGTTGGAGTCCATTCAGCTCCACTCTCGATTATACTGAGTCTCAGAGGATAGAGAGAGGATAGCGGTCTGGTGGCCAGTCACCGGGTCATACAGGACTTCGCCGAGACTCCACTTCCACAGTCCTTGATCCTGCTCTAGTGCTCCTCCCTAGTTTCTGTCCTTAGCTCCTGCTCAGCCTGGCCACAGCTACTAGCCCTTGATCCGAGAATGGGAGATTTGCGTGGGAAACTTGTCTCCGAGCATGTGCTGGGGGTGGCAGGGTGGGGAGAGGGAGCTCACAGGGTTGTGTCATGGCCAAGCATCTGCATTGGTGCAAGGGGTGAGGGTTCACTTCTTCCACATTGTCACCCCAATTATCATGATGACAACATCCATGACAAAGTCATGGATCATTAGTTAATACATCAGGCATTCCAAACTCATGAAGATAACATGGTATAATTGTCAGAATCTTGGGGATTTTTCTTTGTGTGTGTGTGTGTGTGTATGTGTGTAGAAGAACTGGGGTGTAGACCAGAGGTGTGGGGGTTGAGAGGATTCACCAGAGACAGTGTGGGGAGCAGAATAGGTCAGTTTACTGAAATACACTGTTGAGGGGAGCAGCAGATGAGACAGGAGAAGTCTGCCAGCCATGTGGGTTAGCTCCCTGGACGGGGACCGAACTCAGGCCACCAGGGATACTGCTGGGGATTTATTTTAAGATGTGTTGACCTGGTACTTCCATGGGGTACTTTAACTGCCATCTTCCTCTGAACAAGACAGTCTCCTGTTTCCTGTCTGTGGCTGGTTGAGTCGAAGTTTTGGGACTTCCATTCTCCTAGCATGCCCCCTTGTAACTTTATTGACTTAAGATGTGCCCTTGACATATTCATTGTGTTCCAGATAAAAGATTCCCGGTCTCTTTATTTGGTCATTTGAAGTGACTTACCTTCTTTTAGCCTTTTTTATTAAAAAATTTTAAGGGCCAGGCCCTCCCTGGTGACACAACAGGTTAAACAGCACTATGAAGCTGCCGCAGCACTTTAGCACTAGTTCGGTCCCTGGCTAGGGAGTGACCCACATGGCACGGCAGACCTCTCCTGACCCACCCACTGTTCCCCTCAGCAGTGTACTTTATCAGTTGGCCTGTTTTGCTCCCTGCTCTGCCTCTGGTGATCCTCTCACCCCACCCACACCTCTGACCTGTACCCCAGTTCTGTACACATAAATAAATAAAACTTTAAACAAAATTTTTAAGAGCCCCTTAGCATTTCCCAAGTCTCTGGTCATTGTGACTCAGCTTGGCCCTGAGGCCATGTGTCTGCCCAACTGGTGTCAACTACTGTGATGCCCCTTGACCCAGCTGTCACACCCAGAAGCAGAATGGCAGGAGACTGATGATGATGGGGCTGCATTTCATGTAGGGAAGATCTGGGAGGGTTTTCAGGGAGGCAGAGTCTGGGCCAGGCCCATGGGCCACTCTGCCTACATGTGTATGAGTCAGCCACAAGTCTTGGCACGGGGTGACATTTTGCTGTGAGCTCACGGGCTCAGAGCCCCTTCTTTGCTAGGCAGGGCTTGATTTGGTTGGGTGCTGGGAGGGGCAGAGAGTGGTTGTTTGTGAGGGTGCACCTGAGGGTGGGGCATTGTGCCCTGCAGCACCCGCATCCTCCTCCCTCGCACAGCCCATTTCCTGATCTGGCACCCCGTATCTGCTCACCTCAGTTTAGCCTCCCAGCTCTTGTTGGTGAGAGACTGTTTGCTGGGTGGGGTGGGAGGGGGCCATCTCAAAGCCCTGTGTCAGGGACACCTTCAGAGGGCCCAGTCCAGGAAGGATTGCACACAGTAGGGGACCCTTATACCCACCACGACCTCACTGCACCTTTGACCCTTGGACCGTGACAGATAGGCCTGGCATCACTTCCTCAATAACATTTTTTAAAAAGATTTATTTATGCATGCAGAACTGGGGTACAGGCCAGAGGTGCAGGAGTGGCAGAGGATTCACCAGAGACAGAGTGGGGAGCAGAACAGGCCGACTGAGGAAGTACACTGCTGAGGGGAGCAGCGGGCCGGTCAGGAGAGGTCTGCCACGCCATGTGGGTCACCTCTGGGGCGTGGACCGAACTCATGTGGAAGTGGCTTTAGCTTCTTAGTGTTGTGCTTTAACCCACTGTGCCACCAGCGAAGGCCTTCAATAACATTTAAAAAAAAAAACAAGATCTTTTGCCCTTTAGGGAAAAGTGGAAAATAGAAGAGCAACAGCAGCTTCCCCAGAGCCTCTGCAGTTCCCTTTGCTCAGACGCAGCGTGATCTGGGAATACTGTAGCCTCCTGCATCTCACTCCAAGGAGCACCAGAGACAGGGGAACCAAGCTCAGCTCCCTTGCGAGCCCCTGGCAGGATTTCTGATGTGCGTCGCCTACTGGGTGGCAGTGACACCGTCTGTCTACGATCTGCCTGGCTAGATGGCACAGTGCTTCTGCGAGTTGCCCCTCCCCTCGCTGGTGGGACCCAGGCTGTGCCGTCCAGTGCCATCTCTGAGTGCATCTCTGAAGCCCAGGAAGGCAGCTGGGGAGGGGGTGGGGAAGTGGAAGCATCTTGTCTGAGGTCACCTGCTGGGGAGGTGGAGTGTGGGGGTGTGCACTGGACCTGTTGCTGAGTGCAGCAGCCACAGAAGTTGACTGAGGCACAATTTATGCCCCATAAAGACGCCTGTTGTTAGGGGGCAGGGTATTGGAACCACGGGCCTTCCCTGCAGTCTGGGTCTGGAGCTTGGGGTCAAACCTTCACCTTCCTATGGCTCTTGGGGTGTCAGAACTGTCAGATGCTCCTTGGGGTTTTCATGCAAGCCTCTGGCCAGCAAGTGGGAAAAAGTGTCCCTGACCTGGTCAAAGGGACACAGAGCCAGGAGTTGGAGTTGTGGGATCTAGGGTCCTGTGCTTGCTTCCTGTGGGGTCTGCCCTGAGGCACGGGGTGGGGGAGAGGAGTGAGCAAGTGTGTGGGTGCCTGTAAGATGCACAGTGACTGTGGAGCTTGGCGGACCAGGCGCTGAGCTGCCTCTGCCCATCTGGGGCCATGCAAAAGCTGATTAGATCACTAGTATTTCTCCAGACACATCTAGCTGGGCTCCCCTGTGGTCCTGATCTCGTGGGTATAAACCCAGCTGCCCCAGCCCCACGCCTTATACCTGTGTTGCAGGTCTGTGGCTGAGGCCACTGAGGTGGATCTGAACATGCGCGTGGGGCTGCACACCGGCAGGGTTCTCTGCGGAGTCCTGGGCCTGCGCAAGTGGCAGTATGACGTGTGGTCCAATGATGTGACTCTGGCCAATGTCATGGAAGCTGCTGGCTTACCAGGGTAAGTCAGGAGGGGCGAGTGCATGGGAGTCTAATGACCTTTAAGCAGGGATCCCTGGTAACCCATCGGGTCTGGTCTCAGCCCCCTGCCAGCATAGAAGGGGGCCCTGTACTGGCCCCCAGTGCAGGCTCGGGGCCGTGGCCTTCTCAGGTTCTGAGCTTGCTCACAGACTCCCGCACTGAACAAGCAGACCAGAAGCCAGCGTGTTTGCTTCTGGCTTGGATCTGTCCGGAGTGCTGATTATCATGTCTCTCTTTGTTCTTTCCTTTTTCCTCCAGCTTTCCTGTGGCAGGTGCTGTGGCTTTAGAGTTCCATTAGGGAAGTCGCAGACTTTTTTCTTCTAGAACTGGGCTATGTCATTTGTTGGTTCATCCTCTTCAAATGCTCTCTCTTTACAATTATACCCTTTGGTCTCAGTTTTTCTTCAAACCCAATATTGTGTGACAGTGAACTGCAGAACAGAGAGTGCGCTCCCCTCCTCCATGCAGGGGAGGGCAGCAGGAGAATGGCCTCCTTGCAGGAAAGGGACTTTAGGCCCTTGGCCTGTGACCCTGGCACCCTGTTGGCTGATGAGAGGCAAGCAGGTGTGTTCACAGAGGCTGCCACCGCCGGATTAACTGAGGTTCCTACGTGCTGGCATCAGGTTTGGGTGCCCACACCCTCGTCAGCTCCTACAGTGTGTCTGTTCAAGACGGTGGCAGGCCTGTGCCCTGCAGGCTAAACCTCTGCATCCTTGGCCGTGGCCCCTGTTGCCCCTCGCTGCCTGCCCGCATTTCCTCACTCTGCCTGCCTCCCTGGCTTTTATCTTTCTTGCATTACTTTTGATTTCTTCCATTGCATTCTTGATCTGCTGATCACCTGTCCAGCAAACACTTCCTGCCCTCTGGCTATTGGGAGTGTGTTGGGCAGACAGACAGACCGACAGATGGATGCAGTGGATCATTGCTGAGTCTTTCCCTCAGCATTTCTTGTGAGGAGCCTTGCTGCCTGTTCCTGGGCTCTTTCCCCAGGCAGTGCCCTCTGAGCAAGAGGGGGCGGGTGTAGGACCAGTTTTATCCTTGCAGCTTGACATACTGCACCTGGGGGCCGCACACAGCCTGCTCTGTTGCCTCAGAGGGTCCTTGGTTGGCTTCCCACATTGATGTGTTGAATGCATGTTACAGGCTGCCAGAACTGAGTGAAATTCGTTTCTGAGGAATCTCTTACCTACAGGGAAACCACAATTAGAAGCACCAGGCTCTGGGTCCCCCACCCTGTTATTTTGAACAGGACATTCTGATGGGTACCTGGGCCTCTGGTCCCATGGGCCTTGGAGACTACGGATACCGGACATCTCCATTCTTGGCCTTTGGGGAAGAAAGCTCCGTGGCTGTGTCTTCTACGACAGGCCTCTATGATCCATGCAACAACGAGTGGCAGTGGCACTCATCAGTGGGGGTAACTTGACCCCTTTAGCGGCACTGCTGCTCAGGCTGCCAGGGCTCCAGTTTCTCTGCCAGTCCAAGCCTTGGATGCCATCCGCCCCTGCCATGTGCTTCTAGGGCCCCTGCAACCTCCCCTTTTCTAGCACTGTGGGCTCAGCTGTAGGCACCAGGGCTGCACATCTGTTTCCACCATGGGAGGGAGAGACAGAAGGGAGGCCAGTGTGACTAGGCACACACGCGTTTCTAGAAAGTGTTGGCTCCCTTGAGTGCCATTGTAGTTTAGGGCCAGGCTGGTGGGCCATGGGCACAGGGACTGTGCCTTTTCCCTGAAGGAGTCTCTGAGGGTGTGCAGTGCTGTGAGCACTATGGACGCTGGGGAATTAGCTTTTTGCCCACAGACCTAAGTGCTGAGACCTTGCTGGGAGCAGAGGCTGCAGCCAGCGTGTCAAGGCGTGTCAAGGACCCATCTGGGTTTTCAGGCTAATGGTGTCTGCCCTTTTGCTGACTTAGCGGGCTTCCCCCTCCCCCCCTCCACAAAGCCTCCCCGGCTGAGCGTGACTGTGCCTTGCAGTCCCATTCCCTTCCCACCCACGCCACCTTGCGTGTGGGCCGTGCCGGCTGTTGGGCTGGGTGCTGCTGCCCCGCAGGAGGCTCCTCTGGGACTGGGAGCCATGCAGCTCACCGCTCTGTTCAAACCTGTCTGCTTTCTCGTAGGAAAGTTCACATCACCAAGACAACTCTGGCGTGCTTGAATGGTGACTATGAAGTGGAACCGGGTCACGGGCATGAGAGGAACAGTTTTTTGAAAACGCACAACATTGAGACCTTTTTCATTGTGCCATCGCATCGGCGGAAGGTGAGCACAGGACCTGCTGTGACCAGCTGTGCAGCCTCCTCAGAGTCAACTGCCCCATGCTCCCCTCAAATTGCTGCTTCTCCAGCCTGGGCTTCTGTGCGGTTGGGAGACTGCCAGCTCTGCCTCCTGGAAGGGGGAACTGGAACTCCACGTCCTGCTACCCGTCTTTGTCCCCTGCTACTTCTCTGGGCCTTGGCTGGCTCTTGTGAATCAGGTTGAGAGCCCCCACAGGATGGGAGGGAGGGGTGCTGTGGGCTGAGCAATGCTGTGCAAACAGGGGCCTGTGACTGTCCCCTGTGGCGATTAAGGGCCCTCTGTCCACGGGAAGTAATCTGGTTGTTGTGGTCACAAGCAGTCGAGCAGATTCTGGGGCTCACGTGAGGGGAGCAAGGCTAGGTGAGCAGTCAGGGCTCAGGCTCCGTGGAGGGAGACAGAGGCAGGTTCCTGTGAGGGAGAGCTTGGTGCCGTCCTGGAGCACCCATGGGTGGCCTATCACTATCCCTGGGATGCAGGGGTCCTGTGCCAGAGGGCCCTGGTGGGAGTGGTCCTGAGAGGGGGGTGGGGCTCTGGCAGGCCAGTGAGTGCATTCCTGCAGAAGGGGATTGAATGCGCAGAGAATTGCAGAATGGAGCTTGGCCTGAGGAGGGCCAGTTAGAGGTGCAGCCTGGGCCCCAGGGACAGCTTGGGTCACTCCAGGATTGTGGGAACAGGGTTGGGAGGCTGAGGAGAGAGGCTGTGAACACTACCCAAGAGGTTCTGAGCAGGTGACAGAGTCCAGTGTGGAGGTGGGTGCGGACTGACTCTCACATTGACAAACTATGTGAGGCACAACAGTCTGTAGCAGAGATGAAGTCAGTGCAGTGAGAAGTCCCTTTTCAAGAAGTTCGACTGATGCGAAGGAGAGAAAAAAAAGAAAAATGCCCGAAGGGATATTTTACAGCATAGAGTTGATCAGATGTTTAGCAGCAATGAAGGCAGAAGTGAGAGGTCAGTAGATAGTCTGGGTGGTGGGGAGGGTGGGCACTTTGTGAGTGGGTGGCATTCATCAGCCAAGTGCTGACCCAACCAGACAACATCCAGGCTTCTGGTGTCTCCCTGACCAGCCCCAGACATCTCTGCCTGACCCCAGGATTTGGACACATTGCTCTGGTTTTCAGAGGCCTTGGGTGTAGTTGTAGTTGTGGGCAGCATGTTTTGGAACCAGGCTGAGAATTTTGCTCCCAGTGTATCAAGGTCTGGTGAGCATCAAGCCTGTTTCTGCCCCTTTATGATTCTGACCCAGGGCAAGGTGTGTCTACTCACAGCTTCTCTTTGTCCCTTGTCTGGACCAGATCTTTCCAGGACTGATTCTGTCTGACATAAAACCGGCCAAGAGGATGAAGTTCAAGACTGTCTGTTACTTGCTCGTGCAGCTTATGCACTGCCGGAAGATGTTCAAAGCTGAGATCCCCTTCTCCAATGTCATGACGTGTGAGGATGACAAGGTAGGCGGCAGGACTGAGCCCCTCTGTCCTGTGATGCCAAGTTGGCTAGATCAGCCTTCAGCTTCCACATTTGATAACCTGGTAAATGATGTTCAGAACTGGGTTTATTTCTCTGCAAAATCTTTTTATATCTTGTATTTTTTTTTTGTAACTTCACATTTCATGTATTTATCAGTAAATTTAAGCTAAGATCTTCAGCCTTCCTCCTTCTGGATATTTCTGGGCATGCATCATTTCCCTTACTTTCTTGCCAACTCAGCTATGCATTGAGAGAGAGAATGTGTGTGTGGTTATATTTACACAGGATCTCTAACTGGGGAGCTTTCAGGTGATCTTCTTTGCCATCTTACCAGAGAAGAAATACCAATTCATTCCATTGATGCTCCCCAGATTCAACTTTCTCCCAGGACTAGGACCAAGGTAGGAGAGTGAGGACCCCAATTTGGGCAAATAACTTAAACATATGTCCAAATCTCAGTATCAGGATAAGTAATAGCGCAGTGTTTTTAAAAATCAAACTTAACCTGAAAAAAAAAAATCCATGGTGGGTAAAACATCAGAATTTTAGATGAAGGCAGGACAGCTTGCTCTCTTAGAACCTGGGCCCAGGTTCTCTGCAGGACTCTGCAGAGAAGTCAGCGGGACAGGGTGGGAGTGCATCGTCCTTGCTCCCTTGCCTAGGAGGGCTGGGTCAGTAAGACCTGGACGTCGTGACATTTCCCTGGGCTGAGCTGCTGACTTGTAAGCCCCTGAATTAACTGGGCTTTTCTGGGCGGGGTGACCTCTGCTGTGAGGAGGGCACCCTTGCCAGTCCCTGTCCTCGGTGACCCTTGGGCTTGGAGGAGTTGCACATCTGGCTGAGTGGCCACCAGCTCTGGCCACCTGCACCCGCCTCTGCTGACCCTCACGCGCTTGAGCCTGTGCCCCGGCTGCCCTTTCCTCCTCCTCCTCGGGTGCTGCCTGTGTGTAGCACACTTCCTTCTTGCATGCCAGTCGCTGGGGGCACCTCCAGGATGCTCACTTCCTGTGTCTGCCACTCCTCACCTCCCCCGCCAAGATATCAACTCTCTGGCTTTGTATCCTTCCCCGTTTCCGTGGCACCGAGCCCCGGTGCCCCTAGTTCTGTCCTCCTATCCTACAGTCTCCCACAGTCTTTCCTGTGTGCTCAGGGCTCCAGGGCAGCTCCAACACCCCTGGCCACCCCTGATGCTCAGAATACCACTGCTGTTGCCTGGCTGGCCTCGCTTGAGAGCGCCTATAGGTTGGCTTTGTGCTTTGTTCTCCAGCATTCTTCATCAAGCCCCCTCCTCTCCATCATGCTATGTCCTTTACACTCTGGTCCTTTCTCTGTTCTCATTGCTAGGTCCAGATGCCAGGCCCCTCCTGCCTTTCAGAGGTGCTGGCGCTGGCCTTTTCCTTCCTTGGGGGAGGCCTGCTGACCATGCCGAGTCCTGTGCCATGGCTGGGGGCACATGCGCTCTTGAAGCTGCACCTGCGCCCATCATTCTTGCCTCCTTGTGCTCTCACTCTAGGGTCCAAGGCTAAGTCTCCTACTGGCACACAGCTACCTGCCCAGACAGGATTGTCCTACTGTCCACGGCTGGTTAGCAGCCAGCCACTATGTATCCCAGATACCATCTCCTTGGTGCCGTGTGCCTGGGTCTCCTTCTGTGGCACCTCACCCTGGTTGTGCCTTCATTCCCATCTCTTGCCTCTGTAGGCAGGCAGTTCCCCTTCTGCAGAGATGGTTAGACAGCCCAGCCATCAAGGGAACATACTGTGGGCTGGGGCCTTCTGCTGCTTAGCCCCTGGGGCTGTCCCTTCATCATTCAGGCATGAGATTAGTGAAAACAAATCCCAAGTGGGGAGGAGAGCAGTGTCTGTCTGCACCACGAGAAGGTTTCAGATAGTGAAGGCAGGCCAGGGACAAGACTGTGGCCTGGGACTTCTCCAGGATGGTTCCAGAAAGATGGAGTGGAGAGGCATACCTTGGTGGCTTGGCCATTTGGGGAAGAAGGCATAAGTGGCTTCTTGAGTGACCCTGAGCAGAGAAGTCCTCTGCACCTTCTTCCTGGGGACATTCTTGAACCCCCACATATGCTTTAGAATGAATTCTGTCTCCTGTGGCCCTGTCTTCTGCTTTCCTGCCCCTCCAGACCTGACATGTGCAGTTCCCCCCATGTGTGTCCAGGTGATCCTGGAGATGCATCTCAGGAGCTCATACCTCCACTAACCAGGCCTTAAAATGATGTGTGTATGAGGAATTGTGTCTAGAGTTCTGGGGGAGCAATTCACAAATGTACATGGTCAACATCAGAACACTGTCCCATTTGGGTTCCAGTGTTCAGTTCTGGCTGCGGGGACCAAGCAGTGGCCTTGGCTGCTAGGTGGTGGTGTCATGTGGAGTACACCTGTTGGGTGACCAGGGTCTCGGGACATGGGCTTAGGGCTGCCAGCTCTGTCCTGGCTCTAGGTCACACCTGGAGGGCTCTCTTTAATACTGCAAGGACAGGTTCCTATAATAACCCTCACCCTCGTGTGCCTACTCGGGTCTATTTTTTCTTTTAATATTCCTTCCTAGTTATAAAAATAATTTATTATGAAAAACATAGAAAAATAAAGTGCACAAAGAAGAAAATGAAAAACATATTTATAATCTTACCACCCAAAAATAGCATACTGGCAGCATTTCAGTCCCTCCAGTGTGAGGATATGTGCATATTAACTGTTTAATAAAATTGTCCAGATGATATACAGTTTGGTTGCTTTTTTTTCACTTTCAATATATCACAAACATACTTACTTGACCTCCACTGATGTTAAGATCATATCTACCTTTTTTGAAATCTAAGTAATTTACAGTATTTATGTTCATAAAACTACATTTACATCGCTAATCATTTTATAAAATTAAATCCAGTGTGTTAAATCTCTGGAAGACTGAACTTGCAGCTGGTTAGATAGCTGTGCCAGCATCACCTGAGATAGCAGGTCGAGTCCTGCCTTCTGACCCCAGTCCCCTGTGGACACAGTCTACTCTCTCCCCAGTGTCCTGACACTAACAGTAGATTTATTCTTTCTAAAATGTATGCCCAATTCTCTCCCCTTTCCTGAATGCTGTTTTTTGTCCTTTTTCATATTTAGTTTTAAAAACTAAGAGTAACATGGACATATGATACAATAATAAAACCCCTAACTTGTTTTTTCATTTTAGGTTTCCTTCCAGAAAGGGTAGACCTTGTGTCAGAAGGGGAATGCAAAACTGTAACCTTAATTTTTTAAAAAGAATTTATTTATTTATGCATACAGAACTGGGATGCAGGCCAGAGATGCATGGGTGGTGAGAGGATTCACCAGAGACAGAGTAGGGAGCAGAACAGTTAGATTGATGAAATATACTGCTGAGGGGAGCAGCAGGCAGTCAGGAGAGGTCTGCCAAGCCATGTGGATTATCTCTAGGGTTGGAGCTAGAACTTGCACTGAAGTGGCTGTGGACAGCTTGCAGTGCTGCTCTTTAACTCACTGTGCCACCAGGGAGGGCCCCCACCTTAATTTTTTAACCCAGTTATACATGAGTGGGCATTTAGGATGTTTCCATGTCTTGGCTGTTATAAATAATTGTGCAGTTTGAGAAACCTCCAAACAGCTTTCTATAGTGGTTATACCAGTTTGCATTCCCCCTGCTAGTGTAGGAGATTTTCTTTTTCTTCACAACCTCGCCAACATTTGATGTTGTTAGTTGTTTTAATATGTGCCATTCTCACTGGTGTGAGGTGGTATCTCATTGTGGTTTTGATTTGAATTCTCTTATTACAAGTGATGCTGAACATTTTTTCATGCGCCTGTTGGCCATCTGCATTTCCTCTTTGCAGAATTGTCTTTTTAGCTCTTCTGCACATTTTTTGATATGGTGGTTCACTTTATTTTTGTTAAATTTCTTCAGCTCTTTGTATATCTTTGTGATCAGTCCTTTGTATTGCATGCAAATATTTTCTCCAGGTGTCTCGTTGTTTTGTTTCTCAAACTGCTAAAAATGGAGCTTCCGTATGACCCAGCAATCCCACTCCTAGGTATCTTCCCAAAGGACACAAAAACATCAATTCAAAAGGACACCTGCACCCCCATGTTTATTGCTGCTCTGTTTACAATAGGGAAGATGTGGAATCAACCTAGATGCCCCCCCCAAAATCACTGGATTAAAAAGATGTGGTACATGCACACAATGGAATATTACTCAGCAATCAAAAAAGATAACTCATGCCTTTTGCAGCCACATGGATGATGCTGGAAGGGACCATGCTTAATGAAATAAGCCAGAAAAAAAAAAAGAGAAATACCGGGTGGTTTCAGTCATAGCAGGAGCATAAGGGATCAGGAAAAACAAACAAACAAACAAACAAACAAAAAACAATTGTAATAAAGTAAAAATGGAAACAACAAACAGCTATACACCAGAGACATTTTACGGTGATGGAAAGTGAATTGGGATCAAAACTGGGGTGGGAAGAGTGTATGGGACTATAGTGATGGCACATGGGTGAGTTGGTGTGAGTATACTACAAAACAATAATAATCAAAACAGTATGGCATTTCAGCAAAAGCACATGCTCTGACTAGTGGAAAGAATTGATCCCAGAAATAAGCCCACACATATATGAAAAGTGAACTCAACAACTAGAGTCAATACCACACAATAGAGACAGGAAAGCCTTTCCAACAAATAATGTTGGGAAACCTGGACAGAAAAACAAAACAAAAGAAAATAGATCATTTAAATTCTATACACAAAAATGAATTAACAATGAATTAAGGACTTGGATATAAGAGTTGAAATTGTAAAATATATAGAACAAAAAATAAGCAGTGTCCTTCTGGACATTGGCCTCGGAGATGTCTTCAGAGATACAGCAGTCATTTTTAAGTGACCAGAAGGCCCTCACCTGTGCAAGACTTACTTCCTAGCACTGTGCTGGTGCATGGAAACTTCACTTTCAGAATTT